AAATATGCTGTAACTTCATAAATTTATACATATTTACGTATTTATGCTCATTAAAGCCTAGATTAAAATATGATTTATTGCAGTAAATAGGCCCACCACCAAAGGGTACATTTGTGAAGTAGCTGCAGCATTTAAAAAGGTTAAATACTTTAAGATTCATATTTAGGTTTCAATCCATTTGAAAGCAGATTCTGAAGTATAGACAGAAGGCCCTAAAAATGTATGTGAAAACAGATGTGCATTAAATAAATAAGATCTCAAATTTTGGGGAGATTAATTTAAACCTGAGCATTTAGAGAAATTGATATTAAAGGTGCAGAGGCAATCTATAACTCAGAACATGAGAGAAATATCTCAAGTGCTGTTATGGGTTGAACTGTGTTCCCCCAAATTTATTTGTTGAAGTCTTAACCCCCAGGACGTCAGAATGTGACTGTATTTGGAGATAGGGCCTCTAAAAAGGTAATTAAGTTAAAATGAGGTCATTAAGGTGGAGCTCTGATCCAATATGACTAGTGTTTTTACACGAAGAGGAGATTATGATAGAGACATTACAGAGGAAAGACCATGTGAAGACAGCAGAAGACTGCCATCTACGATCCAAGGAGAGAGGCCTCGGAAGAAACCAACATGGCCAACCCCTTGATCTCAGACTTCCAACCTCCAGAATCATGAGAAAAATAAGTTTCTATTTTTGAAAGCTACCCAGCCTGTGGTGCTTTGTTATGGCAGCTCAAGTAAACTCATACAAGTGGTTTTATCACTTCCTGCTCCTCCTCAAACATATTGTTTCAACTTCTTCTACTTGATTTGGCTCAGAATATGACGTGACTTTCAGAATAGTTGACAAGTCTCAAGAGTTTGATTTCTGTATTGCAGTGTTAACTGAATCAGCTTTGATGCTGAGAGACCCTGTGTATGTCTTCAAGTTTATCCTTGAACAGGAACAAAGAGAGCATGCTTTGGGACTGGCCCTGTGGTGAAGTGGTTAAGATCATACGCTCTGCTTTGGCGGCCCAGGGTTTCCCCAGTTCAGATCCTGGGCGTGGACATGGCACCACTCATCAGGCCATGCTGAGGCAGCATCCCACATAGCACAATCAGAAGGATGTACACCTATAATATACAACTACATTCTGGGGGGTTTTGGGGAGAAGAAGAAGGAAAAAAAGGAAGATTGGCAACAGATGTTAGCTCAGGTGCCAATCTTTAAAAATAAGAAAAAAAGGATGCTTGTTATGTTTGCAGATAACAAGAAACTAGACAACACAGTCAACCTAAATCATCTTGATTGATTGAACAAGGAGCTGAACTGAAGTAGAGGAAAATTCAAAGGAGACAAAGATAAGTTCTCGAACTTAGTTTTAAAAATCTCCATTGCATAAGTGCAAGGTGGGAGAGAAATTGCTAAACAGTAGTATGTATTGAAAGCTCATTATGAGTCAACTGAGTGATGAGATTGCCCCCAAATCCAGTGTGCTTATAAGCTATCAGTTATGGAATCCTTTATTCCAGGGGTGCCTGGTAAGAAAATGAGCGGCCTTAGGAAGAATTGAGTTTCCTGTTGCTGGAGGTATCCAAACAATGAGTCAGTGACCACTTCTGATGAATGTGGCAGAGGGTACAAAGTTAACCGGAAGACACACTCGTGTCTTCAACTGGTGGTTGAAGTCACGCTAATGGTTGCTTGAGGAATTGAAGACCACCGGCTCCCACATAATTCTGAGTTTTTGCTATTGCTGTCTTTTAAATATTAGCACTTAGGAAAGCTGAGAGAAGAAAATAGAGATGGTTTGGAAAGCCCCTGACCCCAATGTTAATTTGTCTTTATTTCCATTATTTCCATCTTCCCTTGATGGATATCATTTCTCTAAATGAGGATTTGGAAACTGGTCTTTGGCTGTATCGAGAGTCTGTCCAACTTGAGAACTCCAGGTATAGAGTGAATTTAGTTTATTCTTAGGTTAGTATCTTAAATGGTGGTATGTTGACCTTGGTTTCCGTTCTAACGTCTGTTGCTTTCAAGATAACCAAAACCAGACCGATCTACAAAACATGTGTTTACCTGGGTAGTTCCCTGTGTAGACTAGTGAAATCTTATGATGGGAAAAGTCCCCAATTTAGTAAGCTTTAAACAAAAAATTCTACCTTAGGTGCTAATTAGAATCTAAATTCAGGTGTTAACCTCTTTGACTAAAGTGCATGTTGAGTAATTGCGGGAAAGGGGCCAATTTCAGGCACAGCGGTAATTACTGAATTAGTAGAAAAGTTCAAGTAGGGCTTCAGATTTCAGATCATTACTGAGCTTTCTGAGGAACAGCTAATCCTGGAGTGATTGGGCTTCTCACACCTGTGTGTGTGTGCCTGTTCGTGTGTGTGAGCAGGAGTGAGTGCGAAGGGAGCGCCACTTAAATTTCAAAGAAAAAACCTGACGAATGACCACAGGATTAGATACTAGTATTTTTTTATTTAAAACATAATTTTAATGATCTCTGAATTGACATTTAATGCTTTTCCCTTTACTTCAAAAATAGGGGGGAAAAGCAGAATCTATTTTATCTGATAAAGTGGCTTCATTCTTAAAATTTAGTCTCTTGCGTTATTTACTTCCTTAAAGTCCTGGGAACTGGTCTTTAGTACGCCAGGGAGCGTCCACCTCCGTTATACACTCTGCACTGGGGACCTCATTGAATCTGGTTGCTGCCCAGGGTTGACTAAGTCCCTAAACCTCCTGTAGTGATGCTCTCCGATGACGTGGAAGAGGAAGACATGTGGGGGACTACAGTTGCCTTGTTTGTTGGTACATGGTGCACTGCTCAATCACGATGTTGTCTTCTGCCTTCAAACAAAATCTAACGGCCCTAGGGAGAAACAAGATCCATGAAGATGAAATCAACCCACGTCTTCAGAGCACGAAGTAGCTTATGCCCTCCACTACGGTGACTTTTTCCTCAATTCCGAGTGTAAATTCAAGTGTTAGCTCTGATTTATAGGTGTGCTTCTTGCTCTGTGAAGAGCTTCTGGCTTGTCTTAGAAACTGATGAATTACTAGCATCTATTCACTGACTTCAAAAGTAAGACTGTGGAAATTTGCTGTACCAAAATTGGTTGTGGGCATTTTTCAAGGAGCCTTTCAAATTGAGGGCAAAGCAGACACTACCGTTGAAGCACATATTATTTTCTACTGCTTACAGTGTGTGACGTAGCGAAACATGCAACAGGCTTCATGCCCTAATGAAGAGTTCACAATCAAACAAGTTATAAATGTGTAAAGTTAAATAGCAATGCCAAATAGACAAGATGGCATAAAACTGGAATAAGCCTAACTATTCATCAATGTGAAACTAGGTAAATAGATTGTGGAACATCCATATCATGGGATACTGTGTACCCATTGAAAAGAATTATGTAGCTCTGTATGTATTGGTATGAAAGAAATTCAAGGTATATTTTTAAGATTAAATAAAAGCAGAATAATAGATATAGAATTAGGTTGCTTGTGCAATTTCTTTTTTTTTTTGAGGAAGATTAGCCCTGAGCTAACATCTGCCGCAAATCCTATTCCTTTTTGCTGAGGAAAACTGACCCTGAGCTAACATGCGTGCCCGTCTTCCTCTACTTTATACGTGAGATGCCTACCACAGCTTGACAAGCAGCGTGTAGGTCTGAACCTGGGATCTGAACCAGCGAACCCCGGGCCACCAAAGCAGAATGCGTGAACTTAACTGCTGTGCCACGGGCCGGCCCCAATTAGCTTACTTCTGCAATTTTTTTTAAAAAGAAAAGGACACCTAAAAATATATATGTATACTTAGATAAGCACATCTTTTTTAATGTCCTACAAGAAATATGATGATAGTTACTTTTTGGGAGATGAATTGGGGATAATTATGGGAGGTTGGGAACGTGTGAATAAAGGAAGAATTACTTTTATTTATAACTTCTGGCATGTTTTGATTTTTTTAACATATCTGTATATTGATTCTATTTTTAAGATAGAAGTCAATTTTAAAAACGCATGCAAGAGGCAGACTATATTGAAACTAAAGTAAGGCGGCATATTATTCATTATCAAATGACTGTTACAGGCAATGGGCATTACAAAAGTTCAAGGGAGACAGAGATCACTAGATGAGCTGCTGAATAATTACTGTAATAATAATTCCATTTATGGAACTGTGCCAGGACTATATTTGATACATTTCCATCCATTGCAGTTATTATCTTTATTGATGCTCAAATTATCCCTTTTTCGGCCAGTGGAAACCTCTTCAAATTGGCTCCTGAGTCCTTTTGACACAACCTCAGTGTCAAATCTTTGATAGCTTCTTCGCTTTGTAGTATGACAAAACATTCCAGGATCATCTTGTACCTGGAATTGGATATTTCCCCAAAGAGCAATGGTCCATTTTGGTGGGAAATTGTGTTTAGGAGCATGGTTTGGACACTAGCGGTGCTTATTGCTATCAGGTTGGTCATTTTTTTCTAGGTCTTTGGAGTGAACAGATCTAGGAGATGTGTGTGTGTATGTATATTTCTTTACATGATAAAATACACGAGTTCATACTGACACTTTCAATTCGTATTCAGAGGTTCTTCTTAACCTTATTGATCTTACATATATACCTCTTTTTATTCACGTTGAAAATTCTAGTTCTTAAATACACCAACATAATTACACAACAGTCTCAGAATAACAATACCAACACTACTACAACATAATTACTGGAAACAGTTACAATTAGTGAAAACAGTCATCCTGAGAGTGTTTCCTGCTAAGAACACACAGTCAGATAGCTGTGTTGTAAAAGTCATTTGAAATAGTTCCTCTCTGTGAAGTTACGTCATCAACTGGCTAACAGTGAGGTTCGTCTGTTTCATTCTACTTTCAAATTTTTAGAGATTGCATTTTAAAATTTAATTTTGTTTAGCGATTATGTAAAATGTTAACTTTTTAAAGTGTTCCAAAGTCAAATCTATAAAATAATTACATATTCAAATAACATATAGTCAAAAATGTCTAGCAATTATATCCCTTGCCCTATAGGTAATCTTTTTAAAATTTTTATTTTATGATTTGCCTTTCCCTGGTTTTATTTTTAATATAATCAAACGGGTATTCTTCGAGAAATGGAAGCATTTAACTTAACATATCATGGAGATTAGCTCACAGTAGTGGGTAAAGATATCCTTCATTTTTTTAATAACATCTTTCATAACTTTCTGTTTTCTCTGAAGTTAATAATAGTTCTTGCTTTCCATTTCTTCTCTCTCTCTTTTTTTTAGTTTGGCCTATTTTTAAGATATTTATCACCAATTTATATTCACACACTCTCCAGTCATCTAAATCTTTTCTCAATGTATTGAAGCACATCCAGTATTCAATCAAGTTCACCTTCTTTGATTCGTTCTCTGAGTCTGCTATCTGCTGTCATCTGGATGGATAACTCCCCTAGCCTACTGCACAGCTGTCATCCCACCCCTTACATTCTCCCTTCACTATCACTCTGGGCATTTCTTCCTTTTATTTAAAATCATCTGCTTACTGGTTCCCCTGTCATCTTCTTTCTTGCTTTACTCCCTCATTTAGATAAAGCATATGTAACTCCTTTAGCTTGTTACCGTGATGAGGTTCATAACTCTTATTCACTCTGCTTCATCTACTGTCACCCAAAGATGGGGATATCATTGGAGCATCATTCCAATGGCTTGTTATTACCCAAGGTATCCCATGATGTGCTTTCATATGGCTCTTAAAGTATGTAATGTAGAAATACTTCACAACGTGATTCGAATTCTACTCTTACTCAAGAAGGCCGTGACTTCAGGCTGTCTCCATGACAATCAACTAGAAAATCATTTGCTCCAAGTTCAGATAGCTCCTTTGCCTACTGAGAGTAGTTTCTGATATAGTAGAAGCAAAGCCTTGCAACAGACTGAAAAGACTTGAAAGCTATTTTGTGTACACAGTAGAAGTGTGAAACCCAGCCTAAACAAAGTCTTGGACGTGTCCGAAGATCTCAGCGTGTGGTTGTTTGCATCAGCCTGTCGGTGCACCTGTGGGGATGATGCGAGTGTATGACAAGTAGGATATCTTGATGCCAATAGAGCATGATTCTCTCATACAGGTAAACTAAAATTCCCAGGCTGAGTTTAAAATAATGAGGGGTAGAAGCTACTTGTATTTAAAGCAAGCAAGCAAGCGAACAAACAAATAACACTAACAAAATCATTGTTAAATGAGAGATGCATGCATGTGTGCATGAATAGATGCAGCAGGAAAAAGAGAAAAGGGATTCACTGGCAGGCTTTGCTTATGTGTTTCAGTCGTGTACAGGGTTTGTGGTTTATAACATCATCAGGGTGGTACAATAGCATTATATCCCGGAGAGTTGTGCAGTTATCTCTCCCTTTCTCTTTCTTTTCTTTGCATACAATGGAGGATCTAAGCCTGGATCCATGCCCTGCCCAGGACATTTCCTCTTTGTGGCATGTGAGCCATTACCGAAGCTAAGATTTACTGCTTTGGGGATCGGTTCAGAACAAATGTTCCAAACAGCCGTCTGCCTCGGGCGAGGTAATTTTGGACAAACTCAACAAGACATCAAAGGAAGCCACCTACTACAATGCCTAAGGAGGATAAAGACCTGATTTAAATGAATGTATTGCAATTAGTGGGTATTTACTTTATATGTTGCCAAGTTCTGATAGCTTTCTCTAACCCTCAGGGAAATAATATATATGTCTACCTCTGGTGAGCTGAAGAAATGGGATATTTGCTTCCCGGAGAGACAGGTGTTGTGAACATGCACAGATCTAAAAGAGAGAAAAGACAAAAAGTCCATGAAAGCTGGAGACAAAGAATAAACGCAATGTTTGTTTTGAAGCAACAAAAAAAAGAAAGAAAAAAAAGGTGGGTGTAAGTGGTGTTCTCCTAGCATCTCTTACCTGAAAAAGAGACCTTCTTCTGCAAAATTCTGTCTTCTTTGAAAACAGTTTGTATTAACTAAAGAAAGTAAGGAGGAGGCAATATTTAATATCGATAAATAAGGAAAAGCTACTTATCAATTAAAGGAGTCTTGGACCACCAAGCTGACTTAGGCACATCCTGGAGTGTGGGGAGTTTAATCCAATCATTCAGCATGAAGCATTCCAGCATTAGGGGAAATGAAGGATTAAACTGCGGTGGAAGAATGAGAAAGTAAGACGCTGGATGTATAGTCGGAGTGGACTTTAATCAAATCAAGCCAGAAACAGACCAAAATGGAAATCTAATAACCCACTGTTCTCATATTCATGTTCACAGTTTCCTTCCAGACCTTACACTTAAAAGTGAGGTTTAATGTAAGAATTGTTACGGGAAAAGACCAGCCTGTTCTCTTAGCATTTCCCATAGAAAGAAAGAATGTTGAGAGAGTTGGTCCCAAATGTAGTCAAGAAGTACTAGCCAGAGGCTTCTATTTAGGGGGCGAGGGGAGAGCAGAAGAAGCTGTATGCCAAACAGTTACCTCGTCTGACTTCTCTTTGCGCTGAAAAGATCTCAAAGAGAGGAAAAGCAAAATATGCTCACTCTCATCTTTATTCCTATTTATTTCAAACAGTACAAAATTGAACAAATAATCTCTCACTGAAAAATCGAATCCAAGACTGATTTAAGAGCACGTCCAGAGTTAGCAGAAGTCTGTTAATCAGAAAGACTGCCTTATTCAGACTTTCAAACCTGATTTGTTTAGATAATTGCCAACCTTCTCTTCACTGGAGACATAGCCATATACCTCCACAGTGTATATCACTAACGTCTTCCTGAATTTTGGACTCAAACAAAATCACCTTTTGATGTTTAGAATTTATCTGACAGATGAATTTTCTTTCATCACATTTGTAAAACTAGCCTCTACAAAAAAACTGCTCAAACATCCTTTTGATAGTGTTACTATCTTTTTTGCTATATGAAACACATTTCTTGATCTTTATCATTAGATATTCTGTGAACCAGCTGAATGTTTTGTGGTTGGTGGCATATTTTCTCCTTGGTGTCCTGTAGCCTTCTAGTCCAGGGCCTTTGCCGTCGCTCCTGTATTTCTGAGATTTCTGACACTGCTGCTATCTGATTACTGGCGTTTTTGAGGAAGTGGAAAAAGAAAGAGAAACTTGTTTAGGAATGGGGAGGGGGCTTCTGAGGGCACTGAGACTATTTATTTTAATCAATCTTAAACCATTCTGACATGTGCTAATGGTTGAAATGTAGGTGTCTTTTAGGTGTGTGGCCTGGCGTTCCTCTCCCCTACTGTTTACTTTTGCAGCTTGTCTGTCTGAAGGTTTTGATACCACAAAGCCTCTTCAGGGTCTCAGAGCAAGATGCAGCATGCAGACCAGGAGAAACAGCCCCCAGGGCCAGCCCTCTAAGCCGCCGCAGTAGAACCTTGGAGGTGGGGGCAGGTAAGCGTCAAGGGAACAATGAGGAGGGGAGCAGGTGAACGTAGCCTGGCTTCACCTGGATGTCCTGAAACAATTAGGGAACTTCTATCCTTAAAGACTCTCCTTTGGAAAGATAAAGGGAACTCTGTTGTTATGTGACTACCGTCACGTTCTGAAATGCCATGTGATGCGAATTTTTCATTTCCTGGGCTACCATTCCACCCAAATCAGATTTTGCACAGCACGCTTGTTAACAAAGTCAGTCCCCTTGATTGGTGGCTTTTAAGTAAGGAAACTTTCTAATTTTTAAAAACACATTAGCAAAGGAATTTATTCTCAGATAAGGCAGAGTGAAGTGGCAGAGTAAACATAATGACTTAAAGGAAAGCAGCCTTTAAACCACACACACACACAGAGGCGAATAAGAGATTCGAAATAATTTCTTTAATCTGGTGGTGAGACTTTGGCAAATATGTTTTGGCTGCATCATTTCTAAAGCAGTTACTTCTAACAAAATTTAAATTATTTGTTCCCCCCCTTTGACAGTCTATTTTTGTCTTTTTTATTATATAGGTAATACACAAATATAATATTATTGTAAAAAATTCAAAGAATACTTTCATCCCGCTCCTCCCAGCCCTCGCCCCACAGATGCGATCATGCACGCTGTCTTCCCCCTTTAGAGGCAAGTGACTACTGTCAGAAGTGTTCTCTGTACCTTTTCTTTTTTTTGAGGAAGATTAGCCCTGAGCTAACATCTGCTGCCAATCCTCCTCTATTTTTTTGCTGAGGAAGACTGGCCCTGAGCTAACATCCATGCCCATCTTCCTCTACTTTATATGTGGGACACCTACCACAGCATGGCTTGCCAAGCGGTACCCTGTCCACACCCAGGATCTGAACTGGAGAACCCTGGGGCGCCAAAGAGAAACGTGCGCACTTAACCTCTGCGCCACGGGGCCGGCCCTGTTCTCTGTATCTTGAATTTTCTTTCATCACATTTGTATACAAACATAAATTCTTTGGAGGTTTAAACATGAATAGAGATATGTCTCCTTTTTTATAATTTGGGTTTTTTAACTTTAAAATATGTTTTGGGCAGTTTTCCAAGTCAGTACATATTTGAGTGCCTGCATCTTTAATGGCTGCATAGTATTGCTTAGTGTGGAGTTACTGCAACTCATTTACTCATTCTCCTATTGATGGATATTGAGATTGTCTCTTTTTCCCTATTACAGTTAAACTTTCAACTTTTTTCCCTATATAAGTATAAATGTATTTTTAGATGAAATTTCTAACAAGTAGGATTATTGGGTCACAGATGTCAATTTCGCTATCCTTTTCCAATAAAATCTATCTTTTAATTGATAAATCAATTGCTAGCATATATTGTATACCTACTGTGAGCACGGGACTTTAGGCAAGGCAAAAACATATATGTCTTAGTAGGGGGTACAAACAATTCTCATATGAGGTCTAGGCCTTTTCGGACAAAAACCACTTGTTAACTAATTTTGCTTTCTTTGGTCACAAGACCGTCCTCTAAAGTAATTAAAGGCTGTAGGCCTTTGTTGTAAAGCTGACTGAGGCTTTATTATGATACAACAGTTTTTAGTTTAGGACCTTGTGCTATACCGCACTACAAGTTTGTGACTGATTTATGAGATTTCAGAGGACTGGTGGCTGTTTTTCCTGGGGATTCCCAGCCTCTGAATACCCAGCCATCCCTGAAATACCTGGTGACCACATAGGGTCTCGGAGGCTGGACTCTGACAGGCTGGCCACGGTGCCCAGCAAACTGTGGGGTGGTGGGAGCAGGCATGAGTCCGATGGCCTGTCTCCAGGACAGCCTGACGCGATGGGACACCAACTCTGGTGAAGTAACTTGGCTGTGGCTAGTAAGTGGTGGAGGAGGGACTTGAATTCAGGTACTTGGACACCAGAGCCTGAACATTTAACCACTAGGTTATCCTGCAACTGTCAGTACAAAACGGAATTACTACCGCTCCAAAAACGATCAGGGGAGGCAGTGTTTGCTGGGAGCTAGGATTGCCCCGTAGGGCTTTCGTAAGGATCTGGGATTTGGATGGTTTGTTTAGGTTGTGAGGAAGAGGAGGAGGAGAAACATGAAAGGTAATTCAGAAAGGGAAAAAGTATAACTAAAGACGTGGAAGGAGAAAAGCGAAAAGCAAAACATTCCCAACAACCACCATGAGAATAGCAGTCAGGTAACATTACAGATCACTTTGCTTTTGGGCTTTGCCAAGTGCTCAATAGGAAACATTTTACTTAACTCTTAATAGATTCTGATGAGATAATACTGTTCCTCTTTCATAAACGAGGAAATGGAACTTAACAACATTAAGTAAGCCAATAAAGATGTGTGGCTCAGGAATAGGATTGGCTGGAGGGCAAGGCACACATGCATGGGAGGGGCATTGTGGGAAGGCTGGAGAGGAGCCTTGGGACAGGTGGTGGAGGGCCTTGAATGACTATGCTGGCAGGCAGTGGGGGAAAGCTTGAAAATTTTTTGAGCACTGGAGTGACATGATGGAAGTGTGTATATATGATAAAATTCTTCTTGTTCGTAAGCTCTCCTGACTCTCTGATGAGAGATGGAGATCCTTATGTCACTCTAGGTTTGTAAATGTGTGCTGTGATGGTATGTAGTGATTGCAAAGGATGAGCTGAAGAAAACCTGAACTGTGTGGCCATATTCCTTTCATGCCAGCCTTGGGGACCCCAAGCAGAGACCTAAAATGGTCTAATACACCTTGAACACATGTTTAGGAACATTAGTGCACCAGGGAGAAGAGTCTGAGTCCTGAAAGCAGAGGATGTGGATTCACATTCTGGCTCTACCACTCTATGGCTTTGAGCAAATATCTGAATGTCGAGTCACCAGTCCGTGGGATCCTGGTGGGGAGGGACTGGGACCTGGTCACACTGTGAACATCTGGCTCAAGGGATGTGTGTGGATTTTTTGAATAACAAGTGAATGGGGTTTTCTGAGCCTTCATCTCTTCACCTGTAAAATGAGGATCATCAAACCCATTTCCTGGAGTCCGCTTCCCATAAACCAAGGGACTGCACATCCTCTAGGCCCGCACGTCCTCTAGGCCCGTACTGGAGAGAAGGGCCTGTGTTTCTGCTGCCGCGGTATCCTGCTTTCCTGTGAGTTTGGCCACTGGGAAGGAATGATAATTCCTTGTTGTTGCTTCAAAAGGTAATTTTTTTCTGATTATTAAAGTAATACATCTTCATTTTATAGAGAATTTGGAAAAACTCAGAGAAGTTAAAATAGAAAATAACGATGTTACTATAACATAACAAATATCAGTGTTCCCGTTTTGGCCAAGTTTCTTCCAGTTGTTTACTTTTATTTTCTCTCCATATACATTGTATGTAATAAAATTGTGATCATACTGAATATAACATTTTTAACCTGTTTTTTTCAAGTACCTTTTATCATGAGAATTTCCCCCAGACCTGGAATAGTGTTTGAAAATAGAATTTTGAATGTGTGTATAAAATTTCATTATATGAACTACGCTTACTTCATTAAAACTGTTTCTTATTATTGAACAGTTAGCTTGGTTGGCAGTTTTTCAGTATAGTAAGGGACATGGCAATGAACCACCTCGCTAGGTGCCCTGAGGCGGGTTCCAGGCTGACAACATCAGAATCACTCGGGCAGCTTCTAGACCAGGGATTTCTGCTTTCCACCCTGGGGACCCTGAGCAGTACGTTTAAGAGGAGGGAGGTGGCTTTTAAGAAAAAAAAAGAATTGGGCCCTCTCGGCTATCCTGATGGAGATGAGGGGCCACTGATCTTGAGTTCCCTGAGGACTGGCCCTGTGCACAGCTGGAGCGCCTGTGCCCCTTGCAGTGTCTGATACACGTGGGTGCTCAGTAAATACGTTTTGACCAGATTGTCCATCACATTTCAGTCCTGGTTCCTATGTCCTTAGCATAGAGTCTTGCAAAGGAAGTTACTGGCTTAAAGTTTCAATTAAAAAAAAATCTTGATGGATATGTTTATAGTGCCTTCTTAAGAAATCAATACATATTTCTTTTTCTTTTAGAATGAATAATTTTTATTCTTTAAGAACAATATAGATTCATAATAGAAAACATAAAATGCAGATAAGTAAACAGAAAGAAAAAACTCCCATAATTCTGCCCTTGGGATATATATATATTCTCTATCCAGTTCTTTTCTTCCATGTATATGTGTGTGAATATATATGAAAAATACGTATGAGGCACATACCTAAACATATGTTTTGTAATCTGCTTTTTTTTGCTTTTTGTGTTACTACAATCAGTATTTTGAATCCTGGTTTCGCAGTTTTGTAATTATATTTCTAGCCTAATAACTAATTCTTAGTTAAATTTGTGTTCAATAAGGATCTACTTTCACGGCTAAATTTAAATATTTCCAAAACAATTAGCAAATACAATTAAAAACTAATCAGTGGAATGTTTTGTTTCACATGGTGTAGACTGAAAATCTTCGTACTTTTTGTACTCAAAGAATGGGTAAAATGTCATTTTGGGGACCAGTAGGGAGTTGACATATGAGTAAAGGTATTTAAATAACCTAACTACCATTTACGACCATATCCAGAAGGGAGCAACATCTCAATGTAAAAAATTTAAATACGTTTATTTTTATCAGCATTAAAACACACTCTCTGCTGAGACATGGCGACTCTGTGTCACTCTAGAATTGTAGACTTGTGTCATGAGTGGCATGTAGCAATTAACAAAGATTGAGTTGAAGATATGAGGATAAAGTTGAGAAGGTTGCTTATTTCACCCCAGACTGGTAAAAGCATTGTCATTAATCAGTTTTAGCCCTTCAGTATCAACAAAACAAATCCATGTCTTGCTTTCAGCCATTTTATTTTTGTTCACTTATTTGTAGGCTCCTAGAAGGGAGTGCCCACATTGAATTCATCTTTGTAGCCTTAGTGCCTAGGACTGTGCAGTTCGAGTGAGTGGAACCACAGCTGGGGGACCTGCTAAATAGTGGCTTCCAATGAGGAAACATATCGTATTTCTGAACTACTTTCTTTTCACGTTATCGTTCGTTTCCCAAGTTGCTCTTTAAATTGATGTTCGCTATTTGAGCCAAAGACTTAGGTCATAGAGTTGGGGAACAGGCAGTTTTTATGCAGTGCCAACTTGATTTTCAAGCTCTGACTAGATTAGAGAGGTATTTACCATATTTTACCTTTACAGCAACTTAAACCATAAAGAAAGGGACATCTGCAAGAAAGTGTGGACACAGGATTGCTGTTGCACAGGTCAGGTTAAAACTGCTTTGCAAATTTGGTCCCTGTTGTTTGCACACTTTACTGTCTCGTTGCTATTTTTCCTTTGTTTTCTCCGCCGGAGGATCCAGCCTCCATCTGCTGAAATCTTCCTTCTCTTTGGAAGCCCAGCTCAAGACCCCTTCCTCTATGGAGCCTTTTCCTTCCTTCCCGCAGGGGCTCCAAACAGGCCAGAATTAATCCTTCTCATCCTTGTGCTCCCATAATGCTTTGTTCACACTTCTGTTTTAAGACATCATTTTGCTTTTTTGGTTAAGTGTATGTCTTAGTTCATTTGGGCTGCTGTAACAAAATACCAGAGACTGGGTGGCTTATAAACAACAGAAATTGATTTCCCAAAGTTCTGGAGGCTGGAAGTCTGAGGTCAGAGTGCCAGCACGGTCATGTGGTCATACGAGGGCCCTCTTCTGGGTCGTAGACTT